AAAAAAAAAAAAAAAAAAGAAAAAAAGCATTACTTAAATAAGAAACAGCTTTTTGTAAGTTGCACATGAAATTTTTATGATAGAGCCCAATTCAGAGGAAGGCTGATTAAAAATGGTTCATTTGTAAGCATGTTGGAATTGGCTGACGGCTGCCTAATTATTAGCAGTATTTATATATGGATCTTGGACTATTTATAAGGGAAAAATTGCAAGAAAGAATTTAAAATGAAATGAAGAACCATACATTTCACCCCCCAAAAGCCTTCTCTTGCTTTCTATTTAGAGATTTACTGAGTACTCCAGTTACAGAAGCAGCAAGACCATACAATAACAGAACGAAAGAACCTGGGCAACTATGTGAATTTAATAATTGCTAACAAGTACATTATATCATAACATCGCACAGCTTTTTCACAGGTGCTGGCTGGGTTTTGGGCTGTTCAGCACAGGTGAGTTTGTAGAACAATGGTGATGCATTTACACTGATTTGTGACTTGACTCCTGCTGCTAATGTGGTGCAATAGTAAACCAAAACTAAACAGTCATCTTTTGGTTACTTCCTGTGCACAGACTTTATCTCATTCAAGTTATTCATGTACTTCAATACAATAATTGATCCAACAAAATAGTGCTTGGATAATAAAAATTAGAGCCCAATTCATAGCCTTAAAAGTAAAATAACTTGTTCATCATGCAGGGCTCAAAACACAGCCTAGGGACTGTCAGAGCTGCACTCTGACGAATAAAGATGAAGAATCATATACTGGCATTCTAGCTCTCTTTTCTCTTCCACGAAATCAGAAGCCTGTGGCCACATTTCAGGCCATATGCTAAATAAAATCTTCTATACAAACATGCCCTCTTTATTTACCAAGAGCAGATGCAGTCACCTTAAAATTAAGCTAACAAAGAAGTAGCAACCACTGCAACCTTTCTGAATTGTCAACAATCAAATTTCAAGATATAAAAAAGTAAAAACTTTCTGAGAACTCAGGTGAAACTTTCCAAGTAAATGGCACTTGATAAGAAACCCCAAAGTGCCCTCTTTTGGCAGGTGGCACTAACTGCTAGTTCATCTGCAGCGCGTACTAAATCCACACTATTCACTTTCTGATCTGACATATTATCTATTCAAAATTGTCTTATCTTCTTTTGCCTTGCAGATAAACTAATCCAGAAATACACACAGTTCAAAAATGTCAAAAGGAGTGACTGTGAAATGCAAAACTGGCCTCATAAATGCTGAGCGTAACCCCTACAGAGCAGGGGTGTTCATCCATTAACATACTCTTTTGGAATAAGAAAGGAAAGGAAGGGACCTGTTATTTTAAAGCAAGTATAATTAAACAGTTAATATTCAGAAAATAACATGTTTTCTTTTTCCCCCAGAATAAATGTACTTCAACTTTTTATTAATTTTACAGTATGGTCAGCATTATGTTACTGATATTCACATTAATTGTACAAATTTGCAGCAGTACCGATGCAAGACCTCACCGCATTACTTACTGGTTATTATTAAGACTCCTTTTCATAGCTTCAGTTTAGGAAACAAAATATTTTTGGCTTGAATTAACTGAGCATCAAAAAGCAGCAGATGAACATTTTATCTGAAAAATAATCCCAGAGCTCTGTTTATTTCTTGGGTTGGTACTGCAGCATAAAACACTCATTTATTGTCCAACCTTTCCTAAGTACTTTCATCAGTGTAAGAGTTGTAATATGTTTCATTTTGTTTAATTACATATTTTGTTTCTATAGCAACTAGAAAGCATCTAATCCTTTTCTATTGCTTCCTAAGCCTTTACACGCCAATTTTCTCCATGATACAGTAGCTAGAGATAATCCTTCTTTAGAGCTCCATGTACTATCTGCTCTTTCTAAATATCCCTTAATTAGTATGCATTAGGATTAAAACCAATTGCAGTAGCACTACAACTGAAGGAAACAGAGTCAAAAAATCAGAAAACCAAAACCCAACAACAACAACAAAAAAACAAGCTGGATCTTGACAGAAAATTTGTAGTCTACCAGCGGGGACTTTGGACATAAACCTACTGCCACCTGCAGGCACTCAGCACAACACCTCTCTGCAGCATAGAAGCAGGATACCCCCAGACCCCAGATCACAGAGGAAAGGCAGGCTCCAGAAAATTCCTGTTTGTGCCAGCTGTTTCTGACTCATTTTGCTCACAGGAAAAAGGGCCTGGAGCATTTCCTTTATGATGAAAGGCTGAGCAACTTGGGACTGTTCAGCCTGGGGAAAAGAAGTCTGAGGCTGGACCTGATTAACGTTTATAAATATTTAAAGGGAGGTGGGAGGCAAATGGATGAGGCTAGGCTGTCCTCAGTGGTGTACAGTAATAGGCCAAGGAGTAATGGCCTAAAACTTGAACATCAGAAGTTCCACACAGACATGCAGAAAGGGTGACAAAGCACTGGAACAGGTTGCCCAGAAAGCATGCGGAATCTCCTCCTATGGAGATATTCAAGACCTAAGGATGTCTACCTGTCCAACCTGCTCTAGGAAACCTGGTTTAGCAGGGGGGTTGGATTTATTGATCTCTTAAGGTCCCCTCCAACCCCTGCAATTCTGTGATGCCTGATGTCCTCTGTTCAAATAAATCAAGTAGTCTATTTTCCTTTGCATTGCCCTATTCCAGCATGCTCCTGCTCATTAGTAACTAGGGCTATGTTACTCATTTCACAATTTTTTGAAAAGCTGATGTTTGACCTACACTTCAGTTGGTCCACTTACCCTTCAATCTTTATTTTGTAGTTAGAATGTCTTCCTTTCAACGTTTCCTTCAGCCCACACCTAACTTTGGGTCCCTTGCCAGTTGGTGAAACCCTCCACTCACCTCAAGCATTCCAACTCATTGTACAACACCTGGGAAAGTCAGACTTTGAGAAATGAGGCCTGTGTGAGCCAGCATGCTGAAGCAGCAGTTCAGCACATCATTTTCTGGAAGCACCTAACTGGAACAGTAAACACTGAAAAAAATCTTAAACATTGATTAAGGGTCACCTCTGTTTCACCGAGACCAGGTTCTCTGTACAGAGAAAATAAAAGCATACATAACACAAGGACAGTTAGGTTGGCATTTCCAGGAAATAGCAGGCTTAGGGAACACATGCTGTGCTTTTGATTAAATCGTAGGCTGCAAACTCCATGCTGATTTACTGCAGATGCACTATGCAGCTGAGCTACACATATGCCACAGAGCCACTGAAGCAGTTCCAGAACCCAGGCAGTTCCCAACAGCACCACCAGCATGCACAAGTCACCCAGAGCACCTGGCTGCAAGAACCCCGAGGTACCTTTCATGCCAGAGGCATATCACTGCCTACGTGTCCAATCCAATGGTGGCTGGCCTTGTTTATGATCAACTTCTATCAGAAGGATTGAGTACCCCTACCATAGAGCTTACTAAGCTGCCTGTAAAAGGGTGTGCTTGGACAGAGCTGTCACATGCAGAACTTGTTTGAAGAAAGCCATTTAGCTAACACCAGGAACAGTGACAGGCTGAACCAACCTGAGATGCACAAAAGCACTGAAGATTTTAGCAACTTAAATGTGCGGTCTGTAGACCATATGCTTTCTTCTCTACCACTTTCCCTTGCCCTCAAAAAAACCCCCACACAAAACAAAACAACGAAAATACCCACAGCTCCTCCACTAAAGGAAGAAAAACAAACAAACAAATGTAACCTGTTAATGGAAGGCTACACAGGTTTTGAGACGGTGTGAAAATTGCAGCACTTAATCATCCCTTGCCACTTGGTGGGGATGGTGAGCTGGCTATGCAGGCCTTGGCTTCCAAATCTTAAACAAGATGTTCTATGGAATATAAATAAATAAATAGCTGATTTTCACAGTTTTAAAACACACTGTGAGATGTGAGAAGTGTCAACATTCAAGTGTATTTGGAAAGCTTAAGAGCTTGCTGTTACAAGATACCACATTGAATGCTTCTGGGTCACGTGAATTGCATTTCAACTAAATATACCCACAGTTTTGTTATGGGAAAGATGAACAGGTCACCTTGCTTGGCAAAAGTAGCATCTCCTCTGAAGTATAACAAAGTTATTTTTGTCAGTGCCTATTACTCTTATTTATTACCCTTTCACAAAGTGTGTAGATCAAGAAATAAATAGTATGCCCAACACCTTATTCCTTTCAGTGCTTCATTGAATTTAATCATATTTGCAGGTTAAAGCAAAGCTACCAAACCTTGAAAAGCTTTCCTGTAGCAGTGCAAATGGCAGATGAACAAGAGGCTAACAATGTCTGTACTCCAAAGGACTAAAATCTCAAGACATCTCTTATAATTTATGACAGCAGGCAAACCATTAACTGACAAAATAATACAAAAAAATACGTGACCTGAACCAAACATGGCTCATACAGAAACAAAACAATTACAAATCATATTTTCAAGAAAAAAAATAAAGGACAAAACCAATTTTAAGAAACACTCTAATTCCTTTCCCATCATATGCACATGTGATTTCTTGTAAAAAAGAAAGCCATAGCTCACATTCTTGCAATTACAGAAATGGAACAGTTTGATCTCAGTTGTTTGACCACTAAGACGTAATGCTACGCTTATTAATTGCCAAGTTCATATGTGCAGTTACTCTGAATGGAGAAGCCACACTCACCAGGTGTCAACCTAAACAGCACAGTAGTACAAAGCACAGCTCTGCACCCAAAGATATCAGATTAGAAACAACTCTAGAAACAACTGATTGCAACCAGTGTGGTGCAGAATACAGGGAGAAAACAGGTGAACCACTGAACAACTTAGAGTGTGCTGAGGCCCCTAAGTACAAATGATTTTAAGCCATTCAGGAGCCAAGACATTTTTAAGAGTGCTTAAGATTTAATTTTTAAATGTGCAGAGCAGTGCTTTCATAGCATACTAAAGAAAAAATGTAAGATGAAAAAAATAAGTGTGCACACTCTCAATATTCAAGAGAAAGAAACACAACTCAAGGAGCTTTAAAATGATTTATGCTTTTTGCAAACTTAAATATACTTTGCTTACAGAGTTGTTACATCAGCAACACCAAGACTAGAGAACAAATAAGCACAACGTTCAGGATGTCCACTAACACCAATCATTTATTTATATACTAAGTTAAAAAATACGAATATTTTATTACAAAAAGTTTATCAAACAACTGTATACATACAGTTCATCTTGTTAAAAGCCAATGTCAACTGATACTTTATATACATTATTCACGTCATACGCTTGTAGAAAAGCATCACTCAGAAGAAACTGATTTGGCATTTGGAAAGTAGTTACCTGCACTAAAAGAGACAATTAATATAGGAATAAACAGTGTATATGTTACAATAAAAATACTTATTTGCTGTGATCCTTTAAACCAAATGGATGCTTTCTTGCTCCACAGAGTCATCATAAGTGGAGATTAAAGTGCACATAACCAACACGTTAAAAATTCTTCAACAATCCCATCTAACAGTCTAGATGCTTCAAGCACATCACAGTAACATTAAGGATTAAGGATTTTTCTTGGTGGCTTAAACAGTAAGATACAAGACAAATTCAGCTTTCTAAGCTGCATAAAATAATGGTATACAATGGTGATGAAAGATGAAATGGGTTACAGAAATTTGGAAAACGACGTTTGGTGAAGAAGACAGTGAAAATTTGCCCAGTTACACGATTTCTGGGGAAATATTTCCCTTTTGAAAAAAAACTCACCACATTCCATACAACTATGGATCAAATAATCAAAGCATGCAACAGTATTTACATAATCATCCCAGCAGCCACCCTCTGTGGGCTGCATGTAACACGTGTTGGAGGAACACTATTTACTTTACACATTAATCTTGATGATAATCTGGGGAAGAAGAAAAAAATTACCAATAATATGTTTTCTGTATAATCCTAAGTTAGAAAAGTGCTCCTGAAAAAAATTAACTCAAAATATTAGCTTTGTATCATTACAAACAATGTAGAAAACCTCACAAAATATAACAGTCAGAACTAGCAGAGCTGTCGAGGGCAACAACTTTAATAAATCAATCCACTTCGGATAAAAGAATGCTTTATGCATGTTACAATCTATTTAAAAGCAATAGCTAAACAAGCTAAATTTATATCCACAAGAGAAGCATGACGTTCACTGAAAAACAAAATCAGTTGCTGGTAATCGTGGGTATCGTTTTTATCAAACAAACTGGTCACCAATGAAAAATAATTTTTTTTTATTTTTATTTTTTCCATTTTAAAAGATTAACTTTTAATGAGAAATTCTGAGCCATTACATTTGAAGAGCATACTTCATATCTAGGCACTGTACCCAATTTAGAGGTAAAATGTCTGTCAACATGATTTAACATCCTCAGGTTTCTGAAAGCCATCTGTATGAAGTTTACATACAGCACTACAAATACACATCAGATACTGCTGTAAATTTATAAGGAATACAAAATGCTATTAAATACAACTTTCATCCCATGGCACATCAAGCATGGCTTAGCAATAGTCAGTTGTGGTTATGCTTTATTGAATATTTTCCTTTCTGTAGCTGAGAAATATATAGCTTGGACTTGCTTCCATCTGGTCTTTTGAACCAAACTTCATCATGGTTAATTGTTGTAATTATGGCACTACAGAAAATGAGGGAAGAAGGGTCAGGGAAAGAAAAATAAGAAGCATTTAGAAAAGTAAAAAAAAAAAAAAACCCTCAAAAACTGCAACTGTACTGTAAATGAAAATATGCAGTAAGTATAGACACTAGGGTCAGAGGGTACCAGCTCTATTGCAAGGACAGTTTTGACACAATTTTTTAGTAACTGTGTAAGTCTCTAGTAGGTAGCTGAATTTTCAGCCAGCTATTTTTCTCCTTACATGAGAAAATCCTCACAACATCTACAAATAATTGTTACTCACAGTAATGAGCAGACTACCCACAGTAAACCCACAGTACGCTAGAAAGCATATCCAGAAAATGCTTAAACATACAAAACCCCAAGGTGTAGAGCAAAAACAAAGCTCCAAAATTTTCCATACTATTCTACATCTGGCCAACAGGTCAAAGCCTCAAAGCAACAAAATCCCCAAACACAACCCTTAAATCACAGGCTGGCCAGAAATTGGTTAAGAGCTTCAATCCTTCAATAAAATCCCATCCTGAGAAACATATTACCTTCAGTGAAATTCAACCTTGTAAAGGTTGAAGGTTATCTCCAATTAAGCCTTATTCTTCAAGGCCACCATGTTGCCTTTTGCTTACCAGGAATATACAGAGCTGTATAAAATGAATAATATTCACCTTGTAGGACATTCATCTTTCTTATCAATGTATATCGTCTGTCCGCGTCCATACCACTCTCCATCATAATACAGTCTTCCTTCTTCAGACCTAGCACTATGTAGGTGTTTCTCTAATTTGACAGGTGCTAAAACGATCAAATGTAATATCAACTGGCAGAAGTTGGTAAGATTTAGAAATAAACATTCAGTAAATTATTTACACACAAAATATGCAGTTTTTCCGTTGTCAGAAATAGTCTCTCTCTAGATAATTAACTCCAAATGCAAGAAAATTAGAAGATATTTATTTCCAGTCAGATAAATTAAAAGCTGTATTTCCATTTTAAAGAAGTTCTCTTCCATACAACTCTGCTATCTACGACGTCAATTTTCACAACTGGAATAATGCAACAAGATACAGAATATGAAATCTCTTTATCAGTGCATTATCTCAGACTGCAAGCAGTAATTCACCACTGAAGAACCCACTCACTTGTCTTCTCCCCCTTTTCTTCATTACTCACTACCTCCAAGCATTTGATTTTAACAAAGTTAATATGCTTCTTACCTCAGACCATGTTATCATTTACCACTCCTTTCCCACACCTGTATTTTCAGAGCTGCAGCTTGCAGTGAACACAAATCATGTTCAGAATGCCCCTTTCAAATTCTGGCAATTTCAGTTTCCTGCCTCATTTTATGAAAATATTGGCACAATGTACCAATATTCATTAGTAAAGCCCACTCTTAGAAGTCTTAATTTTTAAAATAATTTTTACAATTCACACATCAATTACATAATCACCAATCAAGCTGCAAGTATCAGCAACTCAGAGCAGGGATAGACAAAATCCACATCTGCCAGTCAGCTCACCCCACCCTGCGTTCAGTAAAACAAGGCTAAAACAAATATAGTCTGCTTTGATGCAGTTTGCATCATTATATATTGCAAGTTCTGTCTTATGAAATCACACAGTGTTTACTTACGTTCTGGCTTTACTCTGTGTGGCCCCAAAGTAGCCATTGCCTTGAAACAAAAGAAAATGAAGCCAGTAAGCAGAATTTTTTTCTTAAATTGCCAGCTCAAATGGTGTTGTGCAGCATAGCTCAAAACATTTGTTTTTATGTGCAGCATTAATGTTATGTGATACTGATGATACTATGAAATGAATATAAACCTTAAGTACTTTTTCATACTTTTCATACTTTATGAACTGTTTAGTTACATTTGCTTTTAAGTGTTTGGGAAGGAGAAATGACCTTCTCTAATGAGTTTTGACTTTAGATATCTCAAGTTTTCTAAATAAAATCCTCATTATGTGATTCTATTAAAAAAATACAAAATGATACGGAAAAACTGCTATCTGAACAACCCATTCTCTGGATTATTAAATTATACCCACAAGCAGACAATTCATGCGAGTGAAAATCTGTGAATCATGTGCAGCAGCAAAATAGATTTTTAATTTTTGTTGTTGTTGCTATTGCTTTAAATCACATTACACTACAGCAAAGAAACTGAGCAGAAGCTATTTTTTATCTGTGCATCTGATGAGACAGGAAAACAGACAGGTTTTCACATCAGCACCACAAGACAGATGGAAATAAACTCAACACCATTTCCCAGAAAGCTTCCAAATTCTTACAATGTAACTTCCTGCTCCACAAGTTGGAAAGCACTGATTTTTGCCAGAATACAGGGAAAAGTTTTCCAACTGCAGGTGCAAGGCATTTGAATAGCATTTGATTACATCAAATTACACTAACACTATGGCAAAGATCTGGTAAGACACTCTGTACTCAAAATTTGGATTTATTTTTTTCTAAATATATTGATTAGTCAAACGAATTTATCTTCCTGTAAATCCCGATCCTCTTACAGTTGGAAAAAACACAGCATTACACTTTAAGCCAAAAGGAAAAAAAAAAAGGTATAGTGAGAGGCTGAAGAACACGCATCATCATAAAATGATACATTCACTATCAGAAAACAAAACATATTATATATATTTAGAAATCTTTATTTAAAACCAAACCCTATCAAACTATCATAGTATGACAGACTTTGGTAGAGACAATGAGAAATCAGATGGCCTAGATACAGGCTTCAAGTTCACTGCACCACAGACACCAGAGACGACAAATATCAAGAGAGAACTTCTGCCATCTCCTTTTCAGATTCCTTTGCATGATTTGCATAGTCAGAAAAAGCTGCAACAGCATGGCTCAAACTAGAATCATTAACAGACCACTGAATAAATACATACCTGTACTTAAGTCTTGATGGTATTAGAAATGCATTTATGTATTTCTAGTAGGGAAAAGGAATAGACAAGAACCCAAAGAGACCCAAAGCTACAGGCATTCATGCTTTCATCTTACCTTCCTTATTGTCGTCCAGTCTTCAAGTATATCAAGGTCTTGTAACATATAAACTATATAGGGGCGTGAAAAGTTAGGGAAAACTCTTCTAAACAGTGATAATACAAATATTTTAAAAACTGTCTGAAGATATTAAGACATTTCTCTCACAGAAAAAATACCTGCGTGAAGTTGAAGCTCAGTAAAAATAAAAAATGCATTTTTTAATTAGGCAACTTAGAAGTATACTTTTGAAGTTACTAAAAGAAGTAATGGCACGTATATATTCATACTATTTGAATTCAACATAAAATTAACAATTGTCATACAACCATACCATCCCTGTTCCAAAAATCATTCTACTTGCAATGTTATAAATTACAGTTAAAACTTCCTGCAATTTCAATGCGACTAAAAAAAAAAGCATTTGCACTAGTATAATCTCTTCTAAAGTTATCATTTTTATGGTATTCTACATTCTATTTGAAACTTCAAGAATCCTTCACCATTTTCATATTTGTTTTAATTTTCTCTAAATAGGAGAGAATTACAAATGAAGAACACTGTAGAATTCCTAGGTACTTGCTTTACACAGATCTCTGCAAAGTGACAAGTTCACAACTACCTTAAAATCATAAGCAATAACAGCATGGATTAGGGACAGGAGGGACATGGAATACTCAGTTTCTTTCTTAGGAGACAAGAATCTTTCTTCAAAGTGCCATAACTTTAGAAATTTCAGCTGCACTATATGCTCATTACAGCTTTATAGAAGATACTGATACAAAATCCTTAAATAAACCCATTCTACAGGAACCTCAAGCTCAAAAAATGCCTATAAAAATTAAAAATTCCAAGAGTTGATACAATTAATCAAAGAGGGTTCTAAAGACTTGGAAACTGTTAAGAAGTCATAAATTAAGTTGAAGATGCTCCAGTAAAAGAAGCAAATCTATGAAACAGAAGTAGCACAAGTCAAGTTGCACTCTGCAGACATAATGCCTGTTTCTGCTTTCATTTTGTAGCTAACTGTTCATCAGGCTGAATCTCCATTACACTGAGAGCCAATACTTCACCTCATATATTGTCTTGCATCCAATTAACCCTTTAAAGTGGCTGTAATAATGAAAAGTTACTGATTATTCATTTATGTCCAAAAAGAGTGTTTATTTTCAGAGCTATCACCTTTTTATGTCTCCACCTAAGAAAAAAAGCTTTTCCTAACTTGCAAAACTATCTAAGCCCTTTTCTTCTAAATCTCTTCTCCCATATTCCTTGCTCTTCACAAAAACAGGACCAAGAATACTTCAAGATACAACCTTCAATACGTGCATTGCATTCCTTAATATACACAGAGCCCAGTTCAGGAGCACTTCCTTTCCTTCCAAGTATACTGCAAAAATGATGTCAAGTACCTACACCAAATACTCAAAAGATGAGCCAAATAGCTTCTATTTTTTTTTTTGAGATATTTTTAAAAACAGACTCTGTACATAGCTAGTAATTACAGATCCCTAATTTTAATTTTCACAACAGGATGTGTTAACTAGGCTTCTCTAATCTGAATTAGAATACCAGCTGCCATTCAAAAATACATTTTGAGAATGTATTATCACCTCAGCTTGTTGTTAATGACATACGTAATATGATTAGCCATAAAATAGTAGTGAATACTACCAGAATGATCAGTGATTTCAATGAAAGGATATCTGATACAACAACAGGCTTTTTTTTATCTGGACTAAATGGATCCTTCCTTTTTTTCCTTGACTGTAGCTCATCATTCCATAATTCTGAAAAGAAATAATAAGAATGAACGAATCAGAAATGTGTATACCTAGTTGTTCTCACAGAAAAGAAAATCTGAAAAGTGTTTGTTTTTATTTCTGGACAATCAGGTGAGATGTTGATTCTGAATAGAACAAAAGTGTCACAAGATCATGCAGTCATAGATGAATGTTCTCTAAACAGACAACAGATACTGACAACTACCGGACCAAAGTTTGTTTTAAGCTTAAATTCAAACTCATCCCACAAATCTTACGCTGTTGTTCAGAAAAGCATTCTACTGAATAACTTGAAACCAGAAATAGTATAGCTACTTGAATTTTTAATAACAGAATTTGAAAATTTTCACTCACCTGATGTAATGTCAATGCTATGTCTGTCTTCTTCAAGTCTTCTAATCTTCTCTTCTAGTTCACTTTGTACAGTATCATACAACAGAAGCTTTTCACTCTAAAATAACAAGAAATGAAACATGACTAAGTCCAGTATTACAGTAATTTAAAGGCTCAGCAGAAGGAAAGAAGAGATTTGAGGTGAACACTTTACAGAGCTGTAAAGCATACAATATAGCCCTGTACTCGTTTCCTTATCATGAAATTCTAGCTCCTCAAAGATGGCACATTCACTCGGCATCAGCATACATATGGTCATCAAGTATCAGTACCAAGAATAACCAAGTATACAGAGCACACACCCAGACCTCCAGAATAGCACTCAATATTTTCCTTTTTGATAGCAAAGATTTATTCACAGTGAGTAACTGTAAAACATTAAGTTCTACTCCAGCTTTCTTAAAAGTTAATGTTTTCACTCAAAGTGTTTTATTAAGTCTCCAATGTTAATGAGATTGTATTAATTTATAGAGAATTATCATCTACTACTATACTATTTACAATCACCTTTTCCCACAGAACTGATGTATCTACTCATATCACTGATATATCCACTCACAGTAGAAAGAATCTACAGTGCACATAAAATACTCTAGACAGTTGTGAAAGCAAAACTGTGTACCTTAAAGCTGCGAGAAACATTCTTAAAACTGCTTTAGAAAGGTTAGCTAGTTCATCAATTTAAAAGATTATCTCTGATTCACATAGATTAACAAAATGCCTCCAATGCTTTTATATAAAAAGTGCTAGTAATGCACAAATGGAAATACACTCTGATGCAAGCTTTCTACGGCATGTTGTAGTCTAACCTCTTTTCTACCTACAGGTATTTCAGAAAGAAAAATCAACATTTTGTACAGCTGCTCTCAATTATAACACCCTATATTGTATAACTTTCGTATCAGCTCAATATCTGTACCAAATAGTTACCCTTTTAAAGGCAGTTTCTAAACACACTTAACTTCCTAAAACTAGAACTTTAATTAAAAGAAAGAAATTAAGCTGAATTTCACTTGCACACTTCCTAAAACACAAGTAGGAAGCGCAGCTGACTGTTACATTCTTAAGCTCATGTTCACTGACCAACACCACTAACAACTCGAGGAAACAGAGACTTGGACTTAATTACTCAAGGAAAAAACAACAACAAACAAACAACCAGCTTAAGTAGCACAAGTCACTGCATCTACTCATTTGCCACCATGTCTCTCTCTCTCATGCCAGAGGCTGCAGACCTAGAGCCAATTCAGCAGATCTCTGTATCTCAACTGCTTCTGCCCACAGCGCAGCATACCAACAGAAACAACACCAGTGTTCAAACTGAACACTAAAGCAAAATGAAGCAAATCAGCTCAGGAATAAAAACAACCAAATAGTCCTACTCCAATAGACATCTGTGTGGTTAACATTCCCTTCAAGTCACAAAGTACTTGTGTTCCACAGATCCCCTGTTTATATATTTCTCAAGCCGTTACTACTAAATAAAAAATAATCCTCAATTGAACTGAGAATGCAAAAGCATTCTTATATATACCTGAAATGTCAAATTAGTACTATTTGTTCTGATACCATTTTAAAATTTCCTTTTTAAAATGAAATACTGTTTGTGTTTAGACACCTGTTTTGCTGCTAGTCTTGGTAACAAATAAGGTGTGAGATGATGTTATGGGCAACAGAGGCATTCTTGCTGAACAGCTATACTCAGAGCAATGATCCTACAAGCAGCATTACTGATTTTGGACAGCTTTTCCCCAGGGACCCTTCTTGGATGTTGCATGTTTGAATCCCGAACGTTCCAGTGTAAAAGAATAGCAGCAAAACAAGCAACAAGGACAACCTTAAAGATGAATAATACACAGCCAAAGAAAATCATTCAATTGTGGATAAGAAACCCTGCAAGTCTTATAGCATTCTGACCAACCTCAGGATTGTATTCACAGGAATGAGGAGAGCCAGTAATGAACAGTCTGTCTTATGTTGTACCTTTTCTTTTGTAAGGCAACCAGAAAATGGAATTTTTAAATAGTATGTGTGTACACTCTTTATTTAATGGCAAAATAAGAACCAGGAATTTCAGGAATACAGTTAGCCACCTAGAAGAACACACATTTAAGCCACTGTAAAGTATGCTGAGGAGGACTACAACGCACGCATCAGGATCTAAGCAGCTACACCACAGGGTCAGACATACAGGTATTTGTATCTGATTATTTGCACTACATTACAGTACAGTAAATGCTATGTAAATGCTTCAATGGAAATGTTTATGTTCAAGCAGAGAAACACATTTTTTCAAAAGCAGTCACAGGAACGGTAACTCTATCACTAGCTGACCAAGATACCTTAAAAACTGAGTAAGACTATTATAATCACAAAAATGTAAGGTGCTTTTTGCTAAAATTATGGTAGATATTTTAGTTACTGGTCTTGGTAAACATGGTACCAAAATGATTTTTACCAATCTCATTATTCTAAATAAGAAAATTACACTTACATGAAAGCAAACCTATTAGAAACCTAACTTTGAAATGCTTTGAACAAGCTTTTACGTGGATTTTAATGTCACAAAAGGTTTGCATTAAAATAGCAAGTAACAGCAATACAAAAATTAGAACATAAAAAATTAAAACATAAAAATATGCACTGAATTTGGAAAGCATGACACACAGTAAAGGAAAATGTTCAATACAGAATAGCTGGCACAACCTCACAGTGTTGTCGAGAGGCTTGAATTTCACATTCATACTTGTTCTTCACAGATTCCAGACAAAGCTCTCTATAGATACCTGTCATCAAACAAATGACAACGTTACTTTCTTTAGCTAATATCTAATTTCAAAATTCTCTTTTAAGATTGCCTTCAAGCCCCAAAATATGTACAAAAGGGAAAAAATATATATCTATTTTGTTAGGCAATTAATAAATATTTTTGTTAGGCAATTAATCCCTTTTAATTCATTAAATCTAAATATCTGAAGAAAAATAAATGCTATTTTCACTTTTTGCCCTATCTGTCAACAGTTACATTAGTTACCATGCTAACCTTACAAAATAGGTCTATTTCACACGGCCTACCAAATTACCCTGCATATCTTCAAATTTCAAATACGTAAGTATTCTCCTATTCTATTTTCTAATTACTATTTTAAATAATACTTTGCGAGTTTCAAATAGCTGGAAAACAGAATGAAAGAACAAGCTTTTACAAATGAATGTGTGGAACAAGGCTTGCTTTACACAGCATGACACTAATAAATCACATCATTTAACAAGACTATTCCACTCAACGAAATAGACTTCTTGTGATATAAATAAGAGTATTTCTGAGTATTAGGTCTATTTCTTGCACCTGTCAATTCCCAGTCACTGCTTATTTGCAGTCCTTAAGGGTTACTTGATAGAGCTCAAACTCTCATACTACCCACTTCTGTCAAGGCTACGAAACAGTAAGAGCAAAATCTTTCTGCTATTTCTGGCATCCTCTGAAATGACTTTCGGAATCTCAATGAGTTGAAGACAAAATGAAAAAAGAAAAAAAAAATTAAAATTAAAATATCTGATTTCTAGACTTCAGGAAAGTTGTAGAAAGAGCTCAGGAAAAACACCACATTGGAACACTGACTTTACTGCTGTCGAAGACTTGAATCAGGAGAATCCTTAATATTCTGCCTATTCACACCCACCTACATCAAAGCACTGACAGAAAATCACCATTTAAAACTAAAAAGCTACGGGTGGTTTCATGTCACAGCTCCTGGGGAGTTCAACTTGGAATCTTCATCTTCTGCAGTACGCAAAAGTACTGCTCAGAATTAATCAAGTAAATTTTGGATAAAGATCTCAAAACCCAGAAATTCCAGGTCACCATCATTATGAAGCATTATGAAGATGATCAAAAGAGAGAAAAATGCCATAGACCAGAAGATTTCAATTTCTCTTCACAGCCTGGAGTCCATAGTAACAATTGAAGCATCAAAGTTTACTGTTCCTAATTTAGAAACTTCGTGCTCTCTACACAAAGACAGATATTCAATGAAACGTAAATAAGCCATATTTTCAGCATGATGTTATCAGGCAAATAAAGAAGAAGCAAGAAACCTATTCAATTTGACCTGAAAAATATTTTAAGTTTAAAACCACGACAGCGTTTCTAACTTTAAAACACACTCTTGTAGCAATTTTAAAGTAAAAATCATAACAATTGATAAAAATTGATGTTTAAATGAATAGCAACATCATATGGTTTAAATAGAAACATTCGTTTTATATGCCTACCTGCCACCTTGGTTCTGATTTGCATATTTTCTTGTAATGCTGCCAATGGTTCTAAATATTCAGGTGCTTTTCCAGCTATGACCTCTTGCAGTTTTGCATCCACTTGGCTTAATCTTTCTTTGTAAAGTCTGGAAACAATAAACATTTAAAAATATATATATATATTTAAAGTAAATACAACATGGAAGAAATTTTAAGAAGAGCTAATCTGACTCTTTCTTAATGTCTTTGTTAATGGTGCACCTACAGAAGTAAATTAAAGATTCCAGGCTTGCAATACAGGAGGAAGAAAAAGATTTTTAGATAGAAACTTGCATTCATTTTCTTGTCCACGTATCTGCTCCTACAGAAGCACAAATGAAGGAAAAAGATACGCAGGCTCTTACTGAAGCAGCCCTCATTCCATCTCTGGTGAAAACCTACATATGGAATACTATCAAAAATGTCACATCCACTTTTGAGTACACGTGGCTATTCATCTCCTCTCTTCTGCTTACTAGGTCTTCACTGAGTGATACAGATACTATGGTAAACTACCAACAGATCTAACACTGGTTTCACTTTCAGTATTGGTATCTGGTTTGCAGTAATCACAAGAAATTTTCATCAATGATAGCAATAAAAAGTGCTACAATGTCTTACAAAAAAAACCCCTCATGTCTAGCTTAGCAAACACAATGCTTGAGTTTGTTTGTCTGTTTCTACAAGTCGCACATATACACAAGGAGGAGAAGGATCCTGGCATACCTCTCCAAAGATCACCGTTCCTTGTCGCAACAGAACCACACCTGCCCTTTACCACAACACTTCAGAACTGTTCTTACAGCAAAACAGAAATAAATATATTTATATATGTATACATGCACATGCTTACACATACTGTACACATTATGTGCATGTGACTCCATGGTACATATTCTTCCCTTTCAGAGATACCAAAGAGAAAGTATTCTAGAGCAGTTGCCTGCAAACCATATCAAAACTTTCAACCATTATTCTTCTCCAAAAGTAATATCCAGATATTTGAAAGACAAGAAACACCAGTTGCACACCATATTCTCACAGAATAGACCCTCAAATGAGGCACTTAAGATACTTACTGATCTTTGAGATCTGTAAATTGCTTTTCAAGATTGGACATTTCATCTAAACACTCCATTCTTCTCCTCTCGCAGTCTTCATCATCCATTTCTAAGAATAAGAAAAGGTAATATATTTTGAACAATGTAACCAAGTAGACTGCATAGTTTGCTTCTAAAACTTGAAGCAAATCTGAATTTAAGCAATAAACAGATCAACCATATTACTATGCTACAGCAGGTTACAATAAACCACTCATCACATTAAGTAAGAAACTTAAATTTGATTCAAGAAGCCCCATGAAGTGTTATTTTTCTCTCCCACACCAGAAAACAACATGATTGTAAGATTTCAAGAGGTTAAATCTCATAAATGACAATGTAAAATGCAGATGAAAGTGTGAAACAGAATAATTAATCCTTGTATAGCACATCAGATGAGAAGCAGCATTACTCATGAAGAGTTATTAGCCATAACTGAAAATTCCAGTGTGTCCTGCGTCAGTATGAGCAAAAGAAATCCCTGGAGATCAAGTGAACAAGTTCAAATGTTGTGCCTGTGAAATGTAATTCAAGGTTTTGTGTCATTAACATCCATTAAAAAGAAAAATGTAACACTTGGTTTTGAAACAAGGTTTCATCCTCTTTAATTGGAAGAGTTGTTTGAAGCTAAAATATTCCTGTAGAAATATCTGTAGCTCATCTCAATGACCATTAAAAAAAGACTTTTAAAAAACACTTTTTAACAGTGAAACCTAAAAAAATGCAGGATTTTACAGAAACCTCATTTCAGATGCTTTTATGAAGCAAGAGTTATTAAATTCTTTTCAGAGCTTTTGTTTTAATTCATACTTCTGATTTTTTCCCTAATTTACGTAATGAACATAATGGTAAGGTATAATAAACACTCACTTTTTGGACAAGAATTTTTGGCTCTTGCCAAAGGGACATCTAAGCATCAGTTGTTACCTCCATTCCCATTTCTTAAACTACAAAATAGAAAAATCATTAATGCTATGAAGTGGCAGCACCCATTGACCTTCAGGTAAATGCCTTGAGAAGGTGAACTAAAAGTTTCAGTTTAGAAAATTCCTTCTTCAACAAAAGAAAACTATCTTTTTCCTTGCTTTTATGGTGGATTAGATAAACTAAAAGTTGGGAAGAATTTCCCCAAGATAACATTTCTTGTTTCTATTTTCCTTCACACAGAAATCCTATCTCTGTCTCTGCCCTTTCAGATTTAGCAAAACACACCTCAAGAGGATAAAAGATGGATGCAACAAGCAGCAACCACAGAAAGGAAAACTGCTGAATTTTAGTGACATGCAATCTTCTGCTGTGCTTGGCAATCAAGAATAAAAGGGAAAGTTCTAAACTCTATTCCTATCAAAGACACACCAGTTTCCAGGGTATTTCTGAACCCATTAACTTCATTAACCATAGTTCTCCATTATAACAAACTGAGTTTCTAGATCCAAACCTCCATCAGTCCTGCCCAGTGTGTTTTAAATAAAGGAGAGGGAGAACAAGCTCTGCTAAGGTACACTCAGGGGGCAGAGATGTCCTGAAGCCGCTTTACCTCAGCAGCATCTCAGAGAAACAGCTCTCTGGTTAAGGCACAGCAACTAACCATTAAGCAGTGTTAGAAGGGCGGAGAGCCACATAGCCAGGAGCCAGAGCACAAGAGGAGAGCTTGACTAAGTGGAAGCCGTGCCCAGCAGTGCAGTCACTCCAGAAAACAGCTGACAAAAAGGCCAAGCAGGGCCTCAAACCAAGCAGAGATGCTCTGCATCAGCTCCTCTGGTCTACAAACAACTCTGAATGCCTTCGCCTCTTCCTCAGTTAACATTTCATTGCTTTATGTGGTCTCATACCCCAGCTCCAAAAAAAGGCAGCATTCAAGCCTTCATTCTTGTTGTTTTGCAAAAGAGAACAGTGATTTGCAAAGGTGAGAGGAGCCTGCATATCACCTCCCTAACTCAGAGAAACCTATTAACTCACATCTACCACTCAGATCCCTTGATGTATCTGTTCCACATTCCTTTTTACTAAAATCATACCTTTTCATTGAAATAAACATAGCTTTCAAGTTTGAAAACCACACCAGCCCCTTGTACCTGTGCATGAAAACCAGCAGGCAGCAGAAAAGTATGTCCAAATGAAAGACTTACTGCAGTTCCTTAAACTGCAGTCAGTACAAGCAGAAAACTTTGACAAAGCTTTAGAAGATGACCTAGCCTGACGAGAGAGAAAATTTAAAGCTGGAACTTCTAATAAATGCTTAGCAGACAGGGAAGAGTGAGAGAGGAGAGAAATAAGCCCTAAAGGCACGTCTTAAAAGGCGTGATTTCAAACTCCTGTTCTCAAAAATAAGGCAGATCTTGAAACCCAGAATAAGATTGAAAATCAGATTAAAGAGCAAAGCTTTAGTTGGCAGTTCAGCGTACTGTCTGAGCCCAACTGACTGGGCAATTTTCACCTCAGTCAGATTTAAGGAATGCAGCAGTTACATTACTTTGAGAGTTGCCTGAAGCTTTTATGTGCTATAAAAATAAAAATTCTCTGAAGTTTGAAGGATCTGCCCTGTGAAACAAGACAAGCCCAAGAGAACACTGGGATGCAGATCCTTTCCCACTTTCTTCTTAAGCTCAAGCACGCATTTCAGATTTTTTCAAGTATTGTTTTGGTTCTATATATGTTTCAGCAAGCAATTCATTCAGAAGTTTTCCCTTATATCAACATGGATTTTATTGCTTCTCGATTTAAAATGAATAAACAAACTAATTAAAAAAAACACATTAGAACAGCAGCCTTTTCTGAAGATCAGTGCAGCTCCCCAACACTGGAGGGAAAGGGGATTGCATCTTATGTTTTTATCCACTGTTGCAAGAAAACAAGAAAACACACTGGCATGAGGGCACAGCAGACACTTCTGCATTACTGAAATAAAACAGGGCTTGTTTAAATCTCCCCTCAGCTACCTATACACTCAAAAAATGTTGGACTTCCTGTCTAGAAGTCTACATTCTACCTGTAACACTGAATAACAATCTTCTCTTGTTTCATTTTGCCAATTTATTCATTCATTTTGCCAATTAACCATTTTCAAGTGTTAAGACTCCTGAAATATCTTCAATTTCTCAATTACAGAAACTTCTATCTTTAAAGAACAGTTCAGTGAATATTCAGTAATGAAAAAGTAAAATAGTTTTCAGATTAAATCTCACAGCTTATCTGTTGAAAATTTATATTGCTAGAAATGGAAAACAACTCATTATATATTAAAATACTTGCTAATGGCCCCATACTGTCTCAATACTTCACATTAGGTTTCATACCACACAGTGCATTTGGGGCATTTTAAATCATTTTCAGAATTACAGTCATTCTTTCCCTACTATATTCAAATAATCCAACTCAGCAACCAGGGCAGCTCAGTTTAAAGACCAAAAAAAAGTACTTAAAACACAAGAGTACCTAATACAGCTCTTATCAATAAGCTGTGGCCTATAAAAAATGCTCTATAAAACGCCCAAATTCTCATCTTGGATGGTGAACATAACTTGTGGCTTTTTCATTCATCCCTGATACGCTATTCTGGGCCTTTGCCAATATTAAAAAACAACACAACACTTTACTAAATACGTATCAACAAAAGGACCAGGATAGAAATGGTGCCAGCTCTCAAGGCCTTCTATTTTCTCAGGCATCCACTGGAAGAGATTTAAAAAAAAAAAAAAAAAAAAAAAAAAAGTTAAATGCAAGTAAAACAAATAACAAATTTATAAGAAAGAATAAGAAAGGGATTATCTCTTTTTTTCCCCCCTGCCAGTAATTTTAATTAATACTTATTTCCTGCAGTGCTAATCATCTTATTTCTGTAGAAGCAACATGCTTCCATGGAGTAAATTCATATCTGTCAAGACACTGAGATAAGCATGTAATTTTCCATAGTCATCACTTTTAAAGTGCTCCCATAAAAGCGTTTCTCCATGGAGTGCAACAGAAATTATCCACAGGGTTTCTTGTATGGCTTTAAAGAAACGCACACTACTTTCACTTAAAACATTGCTCCTCCTTCATCCCCGCTAAAGGCTGTGGAAAAGCAACAGCATTACTTGGCCTCATTTAAAAATAATTAAAAAACAAAAAAAATCAACAAAATGAACTTGCAAAATTCAAAGTTTGCTTTAAAAATGTCAATTACCAAAAATTACAAACAAGAATACAGGAAAATTTTGAAAGAGAAGAAGCTTCAAAGCCTGCAGCTGGTACTAAAAGACAGTCCTCCCTTCACCAGAGCCAGGGAGTTGGAGGAGAGAAAGCTACATTTATATTGTCATATTAAGCTCTTACGTTCTTTACTATGAGAGTGGTGAGGTACTGGAACAGGCTGCCCAGAGAGGTTGAGGATGCCCCGTCCCTTGAAGTGATGAAGGCCAGGTTGGAGGGGGCCTGGGCAGCCTGGTCTAGTATTAAATGGGGAGGTTGGTGGCCCTGCATGTGGCAGGGGGGTTGGAGATTCATGATTCTTGAGGCCCCTTCCAACCCTGACTATTCTGTGATTCTGTGATATTAAACTCCCTTTCCCACACAGGAAAAAATGAGAATTAAAAAAACAAAAAAAAAATTTATGACATTCTGTTTGGCCAGAAAAATAGAGAAAAGGCAGCTTATATAACAGTAACCTACATAAACTGCATAATCTATTTCAAGATAAGCGAGAAGAAACACTGGACTAAGTAAGGGTTATTGTTGCAGTACTGCTCCTGGACCTCATAAAGGAGTCCTTTGCAATCCCATGTCTCACCTCCATATCACTCAATAAGCTTGCATATTCCTTCTCCAATCTATGTTTTCTCTCTGAAAGATTTAACAAATAGTGTCTGTTCTTTTGAAAAACAGTCATGATCAGGAGGGAAGAGCTGTCTCCATTTATTTATTTTCCCAAACATTCAAGTCCACATTCAATTCTGATAATAAAAGAATTGAAACATACCTTCCTAAGTCACATGAAAAAGGAACAGAGCGGTTTGCTCTGCAAACAGGGCCATAGTTAGACATGCTTTTCACACTCAAAATGTAATACCTGCAGCTACTTGTCCTGATATCCTCTCTCAAATTTACTTTTCTTCCAACATAACCACCAGTACACACTGACGCTGCTCAGATTAAGTTTCATCAAGCCTACCCAAGGCAAGTTAAACACATCTTTCTGGCTCTTTTCTTTTCCAAGTGAACAACTTCAAGAGAATGGGGATAAGGAAAGATCTGTACCTGGATCAATGAACTGTTCACCTGTAACAGCCCAACTATTCATAAAGTTCAGTGCACATACATGTTTCACCACCAAATAGCTTTGTACACACTGGTTTAATCTGCAGCAGTTTCAGTGAACAGAAATCAAGTTCAACTACCAAGTTAAGCCCAAAGTTTCACCAAGCACTTATCAAATGTAGTCAAATATCCACAGAGAGCATAAGAGTTTGAAACAATGACTTGTTCTTCAGGCAGCTCCCAACCATACATGTTCAGTTCGGGCTATATTATCTAAAAGAAAACCATACTTGTTTGGGAGAAATAGGGGCCTCAGCACTATCTATTCTGAACTAGGAATCTCTTCACCAAACCAGTTGCTATTATAGACACAAATAGAAACAACGTTTGTAATAATTTTGCCAGTTCTTGCAAGCCCATACCTGGATGTGCTCCACGGTTTATGGACTGAAAATATTTCCTGAGTAATACTGCATTAGATGAGAGAAGCAAGATGTTCCCTCAGATCGGGAAACTGCCAAGAACTTCAGAATCTCTGCTTCAAGAACCCTCCCGTCTAAACCCGTGCAAGTCATTGGTCCTAAATTCACAAAAATGTGTGCCGAATTAACTGATGTAAATTGGAGATCTTTACATATTCTGACAAAATTGTTATTTATGACTTCTGTTGCTCTGGAGCTGCAGTCTACCTAAGCATTAGTTTACATAGGCCCCAGTACCTCTTGTTCACAAATCAAATTCTTCACTCAGCCATTTTTGCTATTTCACTTTTTAATGGGTTCTTTTTCTGACAGCTTAGCATACAAAGGCCCAGTATCACTGAAGACAGAGCAAGAAACAAGGACAGGAAAGTACGCTGCACCAAGAAGGGTGAGTAAGGATGAGAGGAAGGATGGTGACACTTGGATCCAAGTAGATAATAATCAATCAGCTGCCTAGAGCTGTGAAGTGGGGTTCAATCGGCGATACTTGCCCAAGGGCATGTCTATACTCTCAGCATGGCAGCAGCAAAGCTTTCCTAGTACTGGCAGAGCCTTCACTCTACACTCTGTTACTGCAGAGCC